AATGTCCCATAGTGAGACATTTAGTCTCCATCAGTAACAAAACCTGGGCTGTTCTCCAAACTGCAACTCACTCCCTGCAGGAAGAAGCACGAATTTCCTCCAAGAGGTCTGCAGCTATGCTTGCATATGTCACCATTTACTGTAGACACTTAAGTATCCTCGTGTATTAGGGTTATCCGGAAAACAGAACCAATAGAATAGAGATATAAAGAGATTTACTTAAATTTTGTTTGATTTTTGGTGAGGTCGACCCTGTAAATGTAAGATCATTTAGGACTGCCGGAGAAGGTCTCTGGTTCTCTGACCATGGCTTAAACTGAGAGTAAAGACCTGAGCTTGTGATGAACTATAGTCATTCCAGAAAATTAGAACAGTGGGTGTACCTCCAAATCAACCTCGCTGTGCCCCTTCGGAGAAACCAGCACAAGCTAGATAATGTTCCCTTCTCAGAGGTTCTTCATTGAAGCTCTTGAGACTCCGGCACTAGCTGAGCGGCATTCTCTACTCGGACAGCTGGGTTCCAGCCCACTCATGCCTGCCTTCAAGCTTCTGCATTCTAATGTGCCCTCTACCTCTGCTTTTTGTAGATCTTCTAGGGCACTGAGAGTCCCAGTCCACAGTCCTTGTATTGCACCCTTACTATTACCCACTAGGCACTACCTGCCATCACAGCCTACTGCAGGCGATATTTGTATTACGTTTCATGACACTTCATGCCATCGGTTACTATTAGATCATCAGGAAAGTCATGATGCATCTCTGCATAGAAAACATGTCATGACTTTTCCAATGACCTATTAGTATTCCATTTTTCACTGACAAAGAGCTCAGCATTGTATTTGAGGTCAAGAATATGACCAGACAGACTTCAGAATTGTGATAGGTCTGTTTCCTAACTCCACCGTTAATAATACCTGTCAGTCAGGATCCAGGTTGGGAAATGGAAATCATACCAGTTGTTTCAATAGAGAGAATTTAATATAGCAAAATAGTTAAACTGGTATTGGAGAACTAATGAAGCAACCATACCAGTTCTTTTCATAGAGAAATTTTCATTGGAATTCAGTTAAACTGGCATGGGAGAACTAAAGAGGCAAAAAACAAACACTTACTCCGAGGTAACTCAGAGATGGTAAATACAGACTGGGGAGTAACACGCAGAGGGTGAGAGCACATTACAGTGGAGAAGTCTGAAGGCCTGTGTGGAGCTGGAACCCAGCCCTCTGAGTAGAGAATGCCACTCAGCTAGTGTTGGAGTCACAGAAATTGGATGAAGAACTGGGTAAAGTCTGAGGAACTTGGATGAAGGAAGGAGCACATGGGGTTGTCGGAAAAGTCGTGACATATTTTTCTATGCAAAAATATACATGACGTATTTCTGACAACCCATAGCTCATGCTGGTTTCTCTGAAGGGGCACAGCAAGGCCGATTTGGGGGAACATGTTGTACAGTAGCACTAACTGTTATTGCCAGAATGAGGGACTGCTGCTGGAATGATGCTGATAATAGCAAGCAAAACAGAAAAACAGCAACTGCCTTCTCATTCCTCTCACTCTTCAGTCTCCCTCTAGCACCTCTTATTGGGAGAACTGAAGTGGAGCCATCAGGCAAAGGAAAAGTATACTTTGCAAATTCTCAAAGAGGAGTAAAGAAGGGTGGGTTTGGAGTTGAGTCGCAATAGCTTAATGATATTAGGAAATAATATTCCTTGACTGAGCCAATACATAGTATATTCTGGATAGGAAAACTCATTTTTTAATGCTGTAATGATGTACAGTAAATGAATGTAAAATAAATAATTTTTTAATGTTACAAATTGCATAGGTCAACAACTGCTCATTCAAAAAAAGAGAAATGATATTAAGAAAGGTATTATGAAATGATACTCTGTATATTAAATGTCTAGAATTGTGTCTGGTCCATAGTAAGTGTTCAATAGATTTTTTTTAATAGTTATTTTATTTAACTTTATTTATTACTATTATTATTCTTTTCCCCAGTTTAATCAGACAGAGAGAGAGAGAGAAAGTGAGAAAGCAAGCCACCAGGTCCAGGACTTGAACCGTGGTCGGCCATGTGGGAGTCCAGCGTCCTTAACCACCATGCCACCTGCTGGCCCTGAGTGTTCAATAGATTTTTAACTTCCCCAATTCACACAGATCAATTGTGTGTGTGTGTGTCTTTTCCTTCATTCTGTGAATGTGGTGCATTACATAGATTGATTTTTTTGTGTGTGTTGGAACCATCCTTGCATTCCAAGAATGAATTATACTTGGTCATGGCGTATACTCCTTTCAATGTGCTTTTGAATTCAGTTTGTTAGTTCCTTTTTTTTAAATTGCTATTTACCATATAGACAAAGCTGGATCTTTTGGAGGGAGCAACTGAGTCAAGGTGACTTGGAAAGTGTAACCAGAGTACTTCCTGACCTTTCTGTTCTAAAAGCCATTCCAGTTTCTCGCTCAAGAGCTGGTTACAGGAAGATGGTCTCTCTCCTTTACTCTCTCAGTGTTGCCGTTATTCTCTTAATTGCAAATAGATGCAGTTAAAGATAAATGAGAAACAGATTTACAAGAACAATTTTCGGGGCTTAGCTTTTCTCATGTCAGGACTATTTTTGACTGTTAACTTGAGGGTTAGAGCCTAAAAGGAATGTTGGGCTAACCGATCATGAATGTTCTGATTAAAGAGAAAATTCAGTTTTCCTGCGTCTCTGACCTAGCTCAGTGGAGAAAGTGCAGCTCATTCGGGTAGCAACTCATCTCTAGGCTTGTTCCTTGAGAGTGTATGTGGGAAGATACCTGAGGGGTCACCTGCTTGCTTTCTCATCTCCTTGTCAGTGAAGTTGAAGGTAACAGGCCTTGACCTGCGTTAGGGAGAAGCATTTTGTGCGGGGAAGGACAAGCCACCTGGTCTCCTAGGAGCTCTTGAGATTAAGTGGGGTAGAGTTTCTTGAGATTCCCTGATGACAAAAGATGCTTAAGGCACTTAATTTCTTCCTTGGTTTTATCGGTCTGAGTTCCAAGTTAGATTTTTGCCTTTTTAAAAAGTGGCCCAGGTGATTTTTTTCATCAAGGATCAGGAAGCCCTGCTTTGGGGCAAGAGGGCAGCTCTCTTCATTCTATAAAAGGGAGCGAATATATTTAACCACTGAAGAGAAAAGTCTGATTGGATACAATCTCTCTAGGAAAGGAAGAAGGTTAGAGTAACTATTCTGGGTAGGAGGCAATTCTACACGGAAGTTCTATAGCCCTGAGTGACAGATAATGTCATTGAAGACCAAGCTCTCTTCTCTCAGTCAGTTTAGGTTTCGTTGCAAAACGTAGCAGGCTTGAAATAGAGTTGTTATTTCACCTTGGAGACCAGGAGCCTTGCAGCCATTATGGAGGGAGCATCCAAACACCGTGTCACACCTGATGCTTGCTCATGTGCTCCCAGGGATGCAGTGCCTAGCAGTGTTTCCTGTGGCATCTTTCTGCCCCCACAGCTAGGATTACTCCTCAAGTGTGGAAGGTGAAAGGCACATGGGGGCCCAGCAGGTGGCTTGATGGTTAGGGGTGCTGGAATCCCACATGGCTGGCTGCGGTTCAAGCGCCGAACCTGATGGCTTGCTTTCTCTCTCTCTCTCTCTCTCACTCTACCCCTCTCTGGTCAAATTGAAGTAAATAAATGAGTGAATAAATAAGGTTAAAAAAAAAAAAAAAAAGGCACATGGGACCGGACAGGAAAAAACAGGCCTGAGCTTTGTGAGAACTGTTACTAAGGTTTAAGTATCATCGCAACCAGGGATCCCAGCAGTGCATGGACTATACAGACATCAAGAAATAGGCGTCCTGGGCTAGCCCGTGGCACAGCGGTAACACAGTGCTCCGTGGGGCTGAGATGGTACAGCAGGTCCCAGCTTGCGTCCTGAGGTCTCCCTCCTCACGGTGGCACAAGTGTGCCAGAGAGGCTGACACCGAGGGCCAGACTGCTGTGGGAAGGCCCAGGGTGGGGGTGGGGGGGTGTGCCTCCCCCACCCATGGAAGAAATAGATAAATAAGCTTTAAAAAGAAATTAAGAGAAATCAGGGGTCTGTGCTGGGCAGAAATGAACAGGATCCACTGGCTGCAGAACACAGACCCTGCCCTGCTTGCTTTTAATGCGCTGACCCAGTAGGTAGGTTAGGCTCCCCAGGAAGAGGTGGGTACCTCAAGGGCCCCTTTCACTGCTGCCCGCCCTGGAGGTAGCACTGTCACTAACCCTTCATAGAACAAAAACGGGGCCTTAGAGCAGTGTCTTAAATGGCTGTAGAGAATAAGAGGGGCTAAGTATTTTTTTGAATGAGTGAATAAATGAATGAGAATTGGAGAGACAGCTTGTCATTGGCTTTTCAAACAGAGGTTTTCACTATGCGGG